GGATCCAGTGGGGTGGGTGCACTGGCCAGGCTGGGTCCATCCCCATGGGATCCCACCCCTAGGAAAGATGGCATTTCAAGGATGAGTCTGGTCTTGGCCACCTGGTTCTGAGGAGCAGAGGCCCTTCCATGGGTGGTAGAGACAGGTGGTCTGGAGTTTGGGGTGGCTTTGTGCCATGGGGCTGTCAGCTCTGTGCAGCCCCTGGGCAGGGGAGCAGCTCTGACCATCACACCCCTTGCAGGTCCAGGGCTCGAGCCTCCGCTCTCTCTACAAGCGCGCTGCCGGCCGGGTGACCTTCACCACGGACCCCGTGAGGGACCTGCTCATCTGGGCTGTGGTCCAGAACCGCAGGGAGCTGGCAGAGATCATCTGGGCCCAGGTATCGCAGCCCAGAGCTGCCAGTCCCAGCTGCCAGGCCCAGACAGAGCCAAACCTCCCAGTCCCAAGAGGAAGGATGGCACCTCTGGGATCGGGGGCAGCGGGCGAGCTGGCCCGTGGCAGTGCCTGAGCCTGCTCCCCAGCCAAATGGGAGCCAGTGAGTGAGCCTGTGGACACTGAGTGCTCATCCCCAGCCACTCTACATGGCCAGATCCCTCTCTTCCCAACCAAAACACGTGCTGTGGGCAGAGGGGATGTGCTGGGCCAGAAAATTGCTATTCCTTGGAAAGGCTGAGAGAGGGCTCGGCACGCCACAGGCAGGACACAGGCGCAGGGCAGCTGGGGTGGAGGAAGCATCCCCCCACAGACAGCATCCTCAGGCAAGAGACTGTGGCTGGAGGCATGGTGAGCATGCCATCCAGAGCCACGGAGTCACCTCATTCCATCACCCAAGGCTTCCTGTGGGGAGAGCAGAGATGTCCCCAGATTATCCATGACAGTGAGCTACCTCCTGCCCCTGTGCCCAGAGGGGAGCACGGCTCAGCCTGTGCCATGGCAAGCTGTCCCTCCTGAGCAGCAGGCTGCTTGGGACACACTCCTTCCCTCCTCTGGGAGCCATGGAGGGCTTGGCAGGACTGCAGGGGCTCTCAGGACAGGGTGCAGAGCCCCACACTCTGTTTTCTTCTGCTCCAGAGCCAGGACTGCATGGCAGCCGCGCTGGCCTGCAGCAAGATCCTGAAGGAGCTCGCCAAGGAGGAGGAAGACACTGACACCACTGAGGACATGCTGGCCCTGGCTGAGCAGTATGAGCAGAAGGCAATTGGTGAGTGGGGGGATCAGTGACCCAGAACCACTCTCACACCCCGTGGGGCTGACCAGCTTTGCTCAGGAGGTGATGGGTGTGGTGGGTGATGCCAAAGAGGGGTCCCCTCGTCACGGCCAGGGTCATGGTGCTGCAAGGGTAGGAGCACAGAGGGTGCTGCCCTGGTGCAATGGCCAGATCTGGCTGCAAAGGGTGACTCTGTGGGCACCTTGCTGGGCACCAAGCTGGCCCTGGAGCTGAGCCTGCTCTCCCTGGTGCCTGCCTGGTCAGGTGTGTTCACAGACTGCTACCGCAAGGATGAAGAGAGAGCCCAGAAGCTTCTCACCCGTGTCTCTGAGGCCTGGGGGAAGACAACCTGTCTGCAGTTGGCACTGGATGCCAAGAACATGAATTTTGTGTCCCATGGGGGTGTCCAGGTGGGTTCCCAGCAGTGGTGCTTGGAGGGGAAGTGCCCAAGGGGAGCGATCTTGTAAGCAGGAGCCGTGCATCTTCTTCCTCACAGGCCTTCCTCACCAAAGTCTGGTGGGGGAAGATGTGTGTGGACAACGGGCTTTGGAGGGTGATCGTGTGCATGCTGTTCTTCCCACTCCTCTACACCAGCCTCATTGCCTTCAGGTACTTCTTGCAGCCAGGGCACGTGTCCACCGAGGCTTTCCCCCAGCCTCACCCGGCCACGAGAAGCTCCTGTGGCATTTCCCCAGGCACCTGAGCCCCACTTCCACCTCTGCTCCCCGCAGGGAGAAGAGGCTGCAGCCCATGGGCTGCCTGACACGCCTCCGAGCCTTCTTCACAGCACCTGTGGTCATCTTCCACATGAACATCCTCTCTTACTTCACCTTCCTCTTGCTCTTTGCCTACGTCCTGATGGTTGACTTCCAGCCGTCGCCGTCCTGGAGGGAGTATCTCATCTACTTCTGGCTCTTCTCCCTGGTGTGCGAGGAGATCCGGCAGGTATGGGGTGGGCAGAACACAGGCTGGGAGGTCAGAGGAGGGAGAGAACTCCTCTGGGTGCTCCTGGAAGGTAGATCACGTTCCCATGCTGCTTCTCACGTCGCCGTCAATTCGGAGAGGTCCTGGCACAAGGGACTGGCAGATCCCCTGGTCTCTGAGGCTGGAGAATCTCCTTGGCTGCATCTTGGCCTGGTCCTGGGTACTTGCAGAAGGATGTGCAGGAGATGGAAGGACCACTTCCTTCCTAGGGCATTGATTCCCAGAAGCATTTCCAAGCTTTGCTTGACATTTGATTTTTTTTCAGCTTTTGCTTCAACATCTCAGTGCCTTTCTTCACCAGACTAAAGAGCCACGTGCCTCAGGTATCTCTCCCCATGCTCCTTCCATGCCCCTATAGAAAATCCTGTAGGTACAGGTTAACTTCAGGTAAGCAAGAGGGTCCAGTGATGGCCAGCAAGTTTGTGCAGTCCCTCCCCTCTGTGAGGCACAGAGTATCTTACAAGGCTTCCACTGAAATACCAACCCCTCTTCTCTTCCCAACAGCTGCTGCACGATCCAGATGGCTTTGGGGTTGTGAAGATGGCTTCCCTGTACCTGAAAGACTTCTGGAACAAGTTGGATATCTGTGCCATCCTAGTCTTCATCACAGGGCTGACCTGCAGGTGAGCTGCAGAAGCCACTTGCCTTGGCTGTGTGCAGGCTCCAGCCTCAGCTGTGGGCTACCAAACTAGTGTGAGAATTGTGCAGGGGTTTTGATTTCAATTTCTTCTTCCAAAGGCCAGTGCAGATTTTTGTGGTCGGGTGATTCATTCTGACCAATGTGTCTCTGCTTTCAGCTGCTTTTAGGAGAGATGTTTGCCAGGCTGTAACTCACAGCTGGCATTCTGGGGAAGCTCAGGGATACTGAAGAAATGCACGAGACCAGAAAAACCCCACACTGGTGGCACTGAGATGTCTTCTCTCCTCTGTTCTGTGCCCAGGCTGATACCATCAACCTTCTATCCCGGGCGCATCATATTGTCACTGGCTTTCATCATTTTCTGCCTGCGTCTGATGCACATTTTCACAGTCAGTAGGACCCTGGGGCCCAAGATCATCATTGTGAAGCGCATGGTAAGAGCTCCACTCCATCCTGCCAGGGTGAGAAGCTAGAGCAGCTGGCAGCCTGCCTGGGATGGATGTGCCACCCACCTTATCCTATCCCGGAGCGGGTTTTGCTCCCGGGTACAACTTTGCTTCCCCTCTGTCTTTGCAGATGAAGGATGTCTTCTTCTTCCTCTTTCTGCTGGCAGTGTGGGTGGTGTCCTTTGGGGTTGCCAAGCAGGCCATCCTGATCCACAACGAGGAACGTGTGGACTGGCTTTTCCGTGGGGTTGTCTACCACTCCTACCTGACCCTCTTTGGGCAGATTCCCTCCTACATTGATGGTAAGGGAAGGGACCCCAGCCTGTGACAGCACGTGGCATGAGCAGGATGGCTGTGACAAGACCGAGGGGGACCAAGCTCATGGTGCAGTCTGCCTAGCTCCTGCTGTCTTGTCCTATGGAGGTCCTGTGCAGGGCTTCTCTCCAAACACAATGTAAGGCCAGGAGGGAGCAGTGACAGGGTGTGGGGATGGAGTTCTAGCACGCTGGAAGCTCTGCCACCAACACAAACCCAAGGACTCCACCTGCCCCTGCAGCCAAAAGAGCACAGGAGCATGTGTTGATCCAGCTTAGTGCCACAGCTTCAAAGCTGGTGGCAGGGAGCAGAACACCTGGGAGGGTGCAGATTGAGGTCAAACACCCATCCAGTGCTCAGCTCCCTTGGTGCTGACCGCTTGCAGAGGTCACAGCGTGCTCCCTGAGACACACCACAAGGTTTGGCTGCAGTGCAGTCGTGCTGTGCTCTCTTGCAGGGGTGAACTTCAACATTGACCAGTGCAGCCCCAATGGGACCGACCCCTACAAGCCCAAGTGCCCAAGGACAAATGAGGAAAACAAGAAACCCATCTTCCCAGAGTGGCTGACAGTCATCTTACTGTGCCTGTACCTGCTTTTCACCAACATTCTTCTCCTCAACCTCCTCATCGCCATGTTTAAGTGAGTTTGACCCAGCCCCATGGTTCTAGCAGTGAAGGGAGCTGGCTTTGCTCACAGGCTTGACCACTGCATGCTGAGAAAGCACAGGAGGCTGCTGGGACTCATCCTGACCAGGGCACAGGGGTGCTTTGCAGGGGTTGTAGGTAGGGTAGAAGAAGCAGGTGTAGTCCAGGGCCGCCCAGGGAAGCGGGTGGGATCCGGGGCACCCCACAGACACTGGGTGCCCTCTCCTGTCCGTGGCACAACTGACACCTGGGCCGTGCCCCAGCTACACCTTCCAGCAGGTGCAGGAGCACACGGACCAGATCTGGAAGTTCCAGAGGCACGACCTGATCGAGGAGTACCACGGGCGCCCGCCCGCCCCGCCGCCCCTCATCCTGCTCAACCACCTGCAGAGCCTGCTGCGGAGAGGGGTGCTGCGGCGGCCAGCCAGGCACCACGGGCAGCTCAGTGAGCACCAGCACCCCCCTCCCAACCTTCACCCCCCTGAGGAGCGAGCCTTGGCACCTGGGCCACGGTAGCGGGGTGCCCGGGGGTCTGCCAGCGCTGCCATCCCTTTCCTCTGCCAGAGGAGAAGCTGGAGAAGAACGAGGAAGCTGCCCTCCTCTCCTGGGAGATGTACCTGAAGGAGAACTACCTGCAGCACCAGCAGTGCCAGGAGAAGCAGAACACGGAGAAGAAGATCCGAGACATCGCCCAGAGGTACCGGTGCTTCTGAGACAAGGGGTGGCCTTCTGTCTGCTGGTGTCCTGCGTGGGGAGGAGCTGGGGTCAGTGCAGGGCTAGATGATGATGGTGTTCCTCTCTACGCCCTCCATCCAGGGTTGATGTGCTGGCAGAGCTGCTGGACTTGGACTGGATGAAGAGGACAGGGCTGGTGGAGCAGAGACTAGTCTCTCTGGAAGACCAGGTGAGGCAAAAGCTGAGTGACTACCTAAGAAGGGTGAGGTTTTCAAGGGCCTGAGTCAACTGAGCCAGCACACAAAAGAAAGCCCCTCTGAATCAACCTCCCTTCAAACAGCTTGAGGTTCATTGCTGAAACAATAGCATCCAAGAGGAAAAGGTTTATGGGGGATATTCTGTTCAACTCCAAGGTGAAGAGGATGAAGGTGAGAAGTGGTAGGATGAGCCCCTGCCTCCACTGGTCACTCAAGCAGTTAAATCTGATCCATCTCTTCTCCTTGGCCTGAGAGGGCCCTCCAGACCTTCTGGAGACAGCAGACTCTCCTCCCCCTCTGAATGAAGCTGTTCCACACCCTGCATGAGCAAAGGGGTATCCAGGGAGCCACATGGGCCCCTGACATCTCCTTTCAGAGACGGCTGCAGCACAGCTGCTGTTTCCACTTCCATTTCTACTTGCTTTGAAAAAAAAACTCTTTTCCTGGAGGTGGTTTTGCAAGCCAAGCATCAGGGCAGAGCAAGGGTCACGGCTGCCCGGGGGGATGAGCAGTCAGGTGCCAAGGGCAGCAGTGCCTCCTGCCAGGGCCTGAGCGAGGGAGCCCAGGGGCCAGCTGGGCTGCAGGAGGACTGACCCTCTCCTGTGCCATCAGGTGAACCAGAGTGCCCAGGCCCTGAGGTGGATAATGCAGGCGCTGCAGGACAACGGCTTCGGCTCGGGCGAGGACATGCCACCCTTAGGTGAGTGGATCCTGTCTCTCCAGGGAAGCCCAGGGCCCTGTGCTGGTGCCCATGGGCTCTGGACCAGGGCTGAGCAGCCCTCTGCACCCCTCTGTTAAGCAGCAGGGCAAAGGCAGAAATTCCTTTGGCACTGGGAGGTCTGGGGGCTCTGTGAGCCTGTCCAGCTCCTCCTGTGCCCATTGCCACCCTCCACTCCAGAGCCCTCCCTGCGGCCCGTGGCTGAGGCTTTCCCCTGCAGCACCCCTGGAGGAGTTCCTCTGGGGGCTGCTGGAAGGGATGCTGAGGGCCAGGACCCCAGGGGACATCAGCATCCCCACGGAGAGACTCGGCCAGCCCCCTCAGGAGAGCCACAGTCCACAGCACCAGACTCAGCAGGGTGCTTTGCAGGACCTTGCTGTCTGTGTCTGCCTTCCAGGCTCCAGCAAAGCCTCAGAGATGAAAGTGGTTGACTTGGAAGGGAAGATGGAGGAGAGCCAGCCCTCGTACCACGTTCTTGCCCGAAACCTCCTGTACCCAGGGTCTCACACTGTCCGCTTCCCTGTGCCAGATGAGAAGGTGCCCTGGGAGGTAAGAGCTGTGACGCTGGGCAGCAGGGCTGGGTGAGGGAGACATGGGCAGATCCAGAGTGATGGGAAGAGGAAAAACCCATTATCACACCCATGTCACGCTGGGGAGCTCCTTTATTTCTCAGCCCTGGGACAAGTGGCTTCCTGGAACAGCCGCTCCAAGGCCCGGGAGCTGCAGTGCCAGGGATGCCTGAGGATGCTCAGTTGGGAGACAGAGAGTACCACCACTTGCCTCTACCTTTCCTGAAGCAGGGCTGGCTTAGGGTCAGGCTCAGGATCTGGTGCTGGCTTCCACGGGGGACACCAGAGAGAGAGAGAGAGAGGCACCAACCCTGAGCGGGGCCCAGAGCCCTG